CCATCCCCCTTCCCATGAGACTGCAGTTGCCCCATCACTGCCGGCTCATACCTGGCTTTCCTATAAAGCTCTGAGGCAGCAGCCACCTTGTATGCGGTCCAGATGCATTTCTGCCAAAAGCCACTGGGTTTTGAGATTTGTTTCTGAGTCTCTGGGATCATGGCCATAAATTAGCTTGATCAGGAGCCAGAGAGGCCGTTTGTAGGCAGTGACTTGGGGTCTCGCTGGGATGGGGAGTAAAGGGCCGGTTCCACTCCCATCTGGTGAGGCCCCGCATGTCTTGTCACTGCAGGCCCAAACCTGTCTGTCCCATAGCCTCTGGAGGATGACGGTCACTGGGCTGCCAATGGGAACAGGCCAAGGAAGGCACAAAACCTATTCCCACCTGGAGTGGTTCAGCCCCAGTAACCTACTACAGAAACAGGACGCATTTCTGCCAAAAGTTTTTGGGTTCCGAGGTTTGTTTCTGAGTCTTGGTATCATAGCCGTTAAGCAGTTCGATCAGGAACAAGAAAGGCCATGCCTCCAATTATATAGCTGAGCCAGAGGTGGTTTGTGGATGTGTCTCCCACATACCTAACTTTTAGCCGTTTACTTTCTTGGTAAACTATGCCCCAAGTTTTGGGGGTCTTGCCAAAGGCACAGCAGCAATTTTGGTGTATCTTAAAGTCTGACGGTGCCATCAGGCTGCTGATGCACTCGCCTCACAGGTACAGATTGACCTGTTGGTGGCACCATACCCCTTGCCCCTCTAGTTTTAAAGGAGGAACCCACGAGGTTGATCCTCTATTTACCACTCTGAAACTAATTATTCCGAAAATTTCCATCCCAGGAAATGTACTAGCACAGACTAACTGTGTCATTTGGGCGGGGGGGGGGGGGGGGCCCTGTGTGGTTGGGCTTGTTGCTCTGATTCTGGGTCTCTGGAAGGAAGGGTCTGCTTCAGAGCGGTGCTGAAGACAAGCCTCAGTTCCCTGCCACATTGGGTGCCTTCACCTGTGTCCACACTATGCGGGTGACTCATCTTCATGAGTGACCAGGAGTGTAGATCAGGCAGAGCCCACAGGGCCTCGTCAGCCTTCTTCTGGGAGATGCACATCACCTGGGTTTGGTTCTGTCCACGAGGAGTGAGCCAGCAAGTTCAGCCCCTCTTGGGAGAGGGAATTGTCTCCACCTCTCGGGGCAAAGGATGTGGGCAGTATTGAAAGCCACCACACTCCACCTATGACCACAAGTTATTTGTATTTTTCTACATGCAAAACAAACTCCCTCTAGGAGAAGCCCTAAAGTCTGTTTCTATCCAGACTCAGTGCAGAGGCCCAAGTGTCACCATCTGAGTCAGGCAGACACAGAAGAGGCTGCTAAGAGCATGTGTGTGAGTGACGCCTCCATGGTGCAGAGCCACCTGCCTGGGGCTGTGAAGTGAGAAATTAACCTCCCATAGCCCTAGTCTTTGATGGAGGACAGGCACGGGGAGCCTCTAGACACAGTTGAAGAGGGGAAATGCTCCAATAAAGCTCAGAAAATGGAAACTTGTTTTTTCTCTCAATTCCTCACCCTCCATCCCCCATCCGCAGACCCTGTGCCCTCCCCACATGAGGGGAGTTTATATGGGGTGGGAGGCAGAGACCCTCCTTCTCTAAAGAAGGAAACCCCACTGCTCATTCTTGCACTGGACACAACATAAGCCCCGTGACAGGAGACCGCACGATGGACTCTGACTCAGGACGTGGTGGCTTAGAAGTTGGGCCAGTGCAGGTACATTTGTTATGGTAATGAGTGGCAGCAGTACCCTCAGTGTCCATAAGAAGCTTTGACAGTCGTCCTCACTCGGGGCCCAGTGAACAGTGTCAGGGAGTCAAGGTGTGGGCAGTGACCTCTGTGACCTGCAGCAAGGATAGTATGTCCTGTGAGAGGGAGACTGAGAGAGGATGGTGGGTTCTGCTCCTTTGAGGCCTCCAGCCTGATCTGTGTCACCCTGATGGCCATGTTCACACATTTATACTGATATCTACATGCATGCTATGTCTGCTCTGAGTTTATCTGTTTTGTATGTTACATGTATTAGTACCATATGTTACATTATGTACAGCTACATTTCAGATCTCTCTAGGCCTTTACTAAATCAGGTATTAAGAATATTTGGCATCCATTGTTTGCAATAATAAGAAATCCACCTAGAAAATAGATTTAGACATTTTCCTGCTACTGAGTTTATACCAACCTCCAGTTCCAATGGCCGGACCCCACACATAGGAACAAAGAGGATTTTTCAGCACAGTGATCTCTTTCCTTTTTCTTCCCAGAAGAAAATAAGGTAAAGGTAAAGGTAAAGACCCTCCCGTTGATCATCGATTTGCTCGAGCGGGTCCAGTAACGTCTCCATTGGAGACTTTGTTGTTACTGTGTTTGGTATATCGAATACGTCACAGGGAGCTTGCCAGGCTCTGCCATGCGGGCGAGATACTCTTGGTAGCTTGCCGGGAAAATAATTAAACATATATTTTAAGCACCAAACCACCCGGGGCACTCTATAGTGAGTAACTTATTGATTCTTCATCTAGCTGAACCCCAGGACTGCTTTGAGCTTGTTGCATACTCAGGCTTCTCCTAAGTCACTCTCAGCATGTGGGGCCTGGAACGTGGTGCCATTTATTTACCAGGCCCATCTGGGGGCAGGGGCAGTAAACAGTCACTAGTGTTCTGGTCTCTGTTCTTCTGCTAACATGGGTCTGAAACTGGCAACTCACCTCCAACCATGTTACAAACCCAGACTCCCCTCTAGCCAGACTCTCCGAGATTTAAATAAAACATTAGGTGACCCCTCAGCTCACTGGCATTTGTTGCTCCCTTTCTCTCTGCCATCCACATGGTGTCACATCTGTGAGGTCTGATCAGATTGCCCTGCTCCAGAGGTTCAGGATGTGGTCCCAGAAGTTTTTCTTCAGTCAATAGTGTTGGAGTGTCCACATAAATTTTCCAGGGTTTGAATATCACTATTGCAGTCAGTTACCCCAGGCCAGACATTCCACCTGAATCCAGACTTGTTTGTCCAGGTGCCATCATCACCTGCATTTCTGACAGGTCTCAGATGACATCTTTCTGACTTGGATTCTATGGTGTAATTGCCTCAGTGAGCTTCTTCCAGAATCTTTCTTGAGCCCAGTGAAAGTGCCCATACTCCACTTGCACATCCTGACATTTGGGGTTTCTCCCTGACTTCTGTCCCCTAACCCAGATTCCATACATTAGGAAATACTGTAAAATCCACCTTCAAATGCCTGCAGAACCCAGTCACTTCCATTCTTTCACCTGTTCATACCCCAAAGACCCCAACATCTCTACAGTTTCCCAGTTCCCTGCTGTTACCTGTCCCCTCACCTGTCCATCTGCACAGCAGCCAGACTGATGATCCAAAGACAATCTCACCAGGCTAAAATTTCATTCAAACCTGCCTGCGCTGCCCCTCTTAGATAAAAGTCAAATCTTCCAGAGTAATGGCATCCTGATCACCTGTGGGCACCAGGACTTCACCTCAGTGCTCCAGCCACACCACTGCCTCCTCTTCCCTGACACAGACTCACGCCTGCCCTGTCATTTGCACTGAGATTTCCTGCCTGGCAGCAGACACCTAGACAAACAGTCCCTCACATCGTTCCATATTTCCCCAAAAGTCACCTTCCAAAGCCACACTAACCAGGTTAGGAAAACAGCCACTGTCCCAGTCCCCAAACACTTATAAGTGGCTCATGTTCCTCCCAGAGATTACCAATTTCAAACCAGAACACTTGCCTTGGTTATTATATTTTCAGTATAAGTCTGTCTTTCCTATGCAATCTCAAAGGCTGATAAATTTTGCCTGATTTTCATTCCCTGATAGACCCCTATTTTTGGTACAGTGGGTAGATGATCAGTGTAGACCATGGTAGAGACACTGTCTTATTCATGAAACCTCAACCTACATGCTGTGCTATGGTAGCGAAAATGTCGACTCCAAGTGACATCGATGTCACCTCCACTTTTCTCACAAGCGCTTCTCATTCTCACTTGACTTCCCTCCCACACTGGCACCCCACAGCACACAGCACTTTATCTCTTAGGAGAAGAGGATCTTGGGTTCACAGAGCCCATTTTCTAACCCCTAAGTTTAAATCCATCAACTCAGATCACTGACAGCGCTGAGATTCCTAGAGCTTCAGAGTTGGTGGGTGGGAGGGCTGAATTCCAACATGGCAAGTCTGAACACTCATCTCTCAATACCACAGAGACTCCGGTGTGCAGGGGCCAGGCTGGGCCTTGAGAGGAGTGTGACAGGCAAATGCCTCCTGAGGCTCAGAGATGGGGACACACACTGAGAGAATGAGCTATGAATGTGTGGACAAGAAACAGGCAGCCTCCTGCACAGAAGCAACAAAAAAAAACACCCAGATGGGGCTGAGGAGCAGACCTGGGCCTGAGCCTAGACTGACCAGCACAGAAGCCCTCGCTGCTCATGGTCCTGGGACAGGATGAGACCGGGTGTGACCTGAGTCCCTGTGAGCAAGGGCCTGTGGGACGAGGTGCTACTGAAGGACCAGGACTATGAGCAGGAGAAATGACCCGGATAGATGAGTGAGCACATCAAGGCCCACAGACTGGGCACAGATCTGTCCCCCCCATCCCCTCACAGCCTCTCCTGACACATCTGGGACAGACTCAAATTAAAACAGAAAATACATGGAAGGTCTCAGGATTTCCATTTGTTCCTTTTCAAATTTCAGGGATTTCCTTTATTAACCCCTCAATCCCACAAAACAGGAATAAGAAAAATGCAAATGTGATGCTGATTTCAGTAAAGGAGCTGATTTCATTATTCAGGAAAACAAGAGACTAATACAGATGGAGACTGCTGAGTCCTGTCTCTGATGGCACAGCCCAGAGCATCAGGAAAGAGAATGCAGATCAGTAAGGGGGAACCCCTGAGGGGCAGGGGTGGGTCAGACTGCCCCCTCACAGTATGTGACAGGACACAGACACACTAAGGTCCCAGGTTAGGAAGAGAATCAGCAGTTCTTGAGTCACAACATTGCAATGTGAGGAAACGCAGTGGGGAGGCTGTCTCACACTGTAAGAGAAAAGAATGAAGAGACTCAAGTGAGTCACAGGAGTGATGACATCTTGAGCAAGCTCCCAGCATCCCTCTCAAAGAACCCCAAACCCAGTCTTGTCCCCTCTGCCCAATCCCACCCACTACAGCCTCCAGAGCTCACCTCTAGGGATTGAGAGAGACGCATCAGAGCCCTGAGAACTTTCGCTGTCTGGGGAGGAACAAACAGGTCAAGATCAGAGTCACAGAGGGTGAACTAGAAGAGGAACTAGGGGTGCGGGAGCTCCCCATGGGTTCCCGTCTCTGTCTCCAGGATTCCAGGGTCCAGCCCTGCCCACACTTACTTGCAGTCTGAATGTACTTTCCTCCTTTCTCACCTGCGGGAAGGAAACATCCCAGGGAAGGTCAGGGAGAGTACTGGGTCCTGAGGCCACAGAGCAGCTCTCTATGCCCGGACCCCAGGGAAGCATCAGAACTCTGAAGGCAGGATCATGAAATGCGCAGGAAGGAGACACTCCTAGAGTGACCAGCCTGCTCCTGGCGATCTGTGCTCAGCAGGAACAGTCCTTGTGATCTGTGAACCCAGTAACCAGGTTCATCCCCAGCTTATGGAGGTGAAAGTGTCTTTCATGAGCAAATCTGAGAGGTACACACACAGGGGGCATGTGAGCAACAGCACAGGAGCAGGTGCTGTACCTGTTTATGAGGCAGAACTAATACAGGGAGATTCCTAAAGTGGGACAAGACTCAAGAATTGCATGTTTGACAGATCCCCCCCGACACACACACACTCTCTCTCAAACCCATCTTACCAGAGCACTTTTTCCTGCAGATCACAGCTGCCACCAAAGCTCCAGAGACCACAGCCCCGAGGAGAACCAGGCCAACAATGATACCCACAATGAAGATGGTGGACTGAGAAGGGGGCTCTTGGAAAGATGGAAAGAGAGGGTCTGAACCCCAGCCTCAGTTTGACCCTCAACAGATCCCAAGAGGGGCCAACCTTGATTTCCCTGAGAACAGGTTCTGTGGCCCGTCCTCCTTCTTACCCCATCTCAGGGTGACAGGTTCTGGCAGCCCCTGGTGCTGCACATGGCATGTGTATCTCTGCTCCTCTCCAGAAGACACCACCACAGCTGCCCACTTCTGGAAATTTCCATCCCCTGAAGGCCTGGTCTCCACCAACTCTGTGTCCTGGGTTAGATCCACTCCATCACGCTGCCAAGTCAGGGTGATCTCAGCAGGGTAGAAGCCCAGAGCCCAGCATCTCAGGGTGACTTCATGGTCAGAGAAGGGGTGGTGGGTTATATATCTTCTGGGGGCTTCTGAGGAGGAAAAATGAGAAATTCACATGTTGGGTCATTTTCATAATGAGAATGAACAGGATAATTGGTTTGTAATAGGAGGTAGAACTCCAGACACAAGCTTGGCTGGAGAATCTTAATAAAATTCTAATTCCTTGGAAAGTTGTAGAACAGGGTTTTGATAGGAGGTTAAGGTCCCTAAGAAGACACTGAGGAGATCGCCTCCTCCTTCCGTCGGCCAGGTGCCCCCAGAACCCCAGCCATGGGAGTCCCCGGCAAGCCTTAGAACAGAATCAGAACTGGAACTTTTACTCGGTTCGGCACTGAGGTGAAGACTAACTCCCTGAGGTAAAGATGGGGGGTGTGGCCTCCAGGGCTTCAGACCTCAGTTATTTTTCCCCTTCCCAGCACCCTCAACTCATCTCAATTTCCATTACCTAATTCTGAGGAGAACTTCCTGGCTATCCCAATTACACTAGGTCTACAGTCCAGCAGCCTATTCCAAACTCACCAAAATAAAGGTGAACACAAGAAATTGAACAAGCCTAATATAAAAGAATGCACCCTCTGAAGCTTCAGTATAGGCTTTACACAAATCACAGAGGAACACCAAAGAGGAAGGTAGTATTCTAGTGGGTGAAGGGTCATCACCATTGACCAAACTCACGTAGAATCCTTTCTTGAAGTGAGAGGTGTACACTGACAGTGAACTGGAGAATCCCACCTCCATTCTTCCACAACAACATGAAGAAACATAAATCCCCACCATGAGGAATGAAGGAAGAAAGGAGTCCAGAAGTCCCAATAAGGATTACCTACAAATACGATCTCTCTGATAAAGAATTCAGAGATGAAATGCTGAGGATGATCAATTAACTCAAAGAAAAGGTGGAACAGATGTCCATTAAGTTAAAGGAGGACCTGGAAGAAACAGTGGAACAGAGAGCCAAGAAAACAAATGGTAGGGGAAAAGGGAGCTCAGACAGAGAAGGGAGCACCAAATAAAGGGTGTTGGGAGGACCCTCCCAGGATGGGAAGAAGCATGCTGAAAGTAGACTATAGACCAAAGATGATTGCCACTCATTATCTCTTTTGCAAACCACAACACCCAATAGGAGAGAGAGAGAGAGAGAGAGAGAGAGAGAGAGAGAGAGAGAGAGAGAGAACAAAAGTGCCACAGAGGCAGGATGGGATGGGAGGGGGGATGGGGAGTGGGAGGGATACTGGGATCTGTGGTGGTGGTGGAAAATGGGCACTGGTGGAGGGATGGGTATTTGATCATTGTATAATTGAAACCCAAGCACAAAAATTTGTAAGTCTACAACTGTACCTCATGGTGTCTCACTAATAAAAATTGGGAAAAAAAGCTACAAATAGAAATGTCACAAATAAAGATTCGGTAGATGAAATAAAAAACTCAGTGGGTGCTGTCAATGGTAGAATGAATACAGCTGAAGACAGAATCAGTGAGCTTGAAAATGAGCTGCAGGAAACTTACAGGCAACAACAAACAATGGGAAAAGATCTCAAAATAGCTCTCAGGCAAATCAGAGACCTAGGGGATGATTCCAAGAGGAACAACATTAGAATCAATCGAGTACCAGAAGGACAGGGAGGCAACCCCTTTAAAAAAAAAAACAGTTAAAGATATCATCGCTGTCCTCAGGTAGAGAAGGGTGCACCAAATAAAGGGTGTTGGGAGGATCCTCCCAGGATGGGAGATGCATGCTGAAAATAGACTATAGACTGAACATGATTGCCATTCAATGCCTCTTTTCCAGGCCACAGCACCCAAAAGGAGAGAAAGAACAAAAGGGAATGCCCTGCCACAGAGGCAGGGAGGGTAGGGGAGTTCGGGGATGGGAGGGATATTGGGATCAGTGGTGGTGGAGAATAGGCACTGGTGGAGAGATGGGTACTCGATCATTGTATAACTGAAACCCAAGCACAAAAATTTGGAAGTCTACAACTGTACCTCATGGTGTTTCACTAATAATAAAAAAAAAGATATCATTGCTGAAAAGTTCCCAGAGCTAGAGAATGCAGGCATCCAGATCGAAGGAGCCCAAAGGATGCCAGCTAAAAGGGACACTAATAAAAATACTCCAAGACATATCATAGTAAGAATTATGGATGCCACGGATAGAGACACAATACTGCAAGCAGCAAGATCAAAGAAGGAAATCACATACAAAGAAGCACCCTTAGATTTATAGCAGACCTATCAGAAGAAACCCTCCAAGCCCGAAGACAATGGAGGGATATGGTGAAAAAACTCAATGAAATGAATGTCTCACCAAGAATACTTTAATCCAGCTAAACGCTCACTCAAACTCGAAGGAACAATATACTATTTTATGGATAAACAAGAGCTCAGGAACTTCATAGACTCAAAACCAAACCTAAAAGAATGACTAAAGAGGCTACTGTATGACAAGAAAAATCCCTACAAGCACAATAAACCCCGACAGAAAAATGGCACAAAATCCCATGACAATAATCTCTCTCAATGTCATTGGTCTAAGTGCACCAAGTAAGAGACACAGAGTGGCAAAACGGATTCAGAAACTGAGTCCAACATTCTGCTGCCTACAAGAAACACATCTGAAGAGACAGAGCAAACACAGACTCAACATCAAAGGATGGAAACAAAACCTGCAAGTAAACAACTCCCTCAAAAAATCCAGGGTGGCCATACGAGTATCCGACAACATACATTTTAGGTGAAAAAAAATTAGAAGGAACAGCGAAGGCCATTTTTTACTAATCAAGGGATATGTACAGCAGGAGGAAATCACACTCCTTAACGTATACGCACTTAATGAGTGATCAGCTAAGTACTTAAAACAACTGCTAACAGATTTTAAAGAGAACATTGGTAGCAACACAATAGTAGTTGGAGACTTAAACACTACCTATCAGCTCTGGATAGATCAACAAGACTAAAACTCATCAAGGAAACACTGACTTTGAAGGAAGATATAGAAGAGAGAGGACTAATAGATCTATACAGGGCTATACATTCCAAAAAGAATGAATACACATTTTTTACCAGTGCACAGGGAACATTTTCCAAAATAGACCAAGTGCTGGGTCACGAAACATGCCTCAATAGAATCAAGAATATGGAAATTGTATCAACTATATTTTCAGACCACGATGCACTGAATATAGACGTTAATCTTACACAGAAGTGAGAAACCAAATCAAACACCTAGAAATCAAACAACTCAATGTTGAACAATGAGTGGGTCATGAAGGAACTCAAGGAAGAAATCAAAAGTTACCTGGAAACAAATGAAAATGAAGACATGAGCTAGAAGAACCTATGGGATGCAGCTAAAGACGTATTAAGGGGAAATTTTATAGCACTGCAAGTTTCTCAGGAAGGAAGAAAGGACCCACATTATTAACTTGACTTCACAGCTCAAGATCTTACAAAAGGATCAACAAAAGGTGCCCAAACTAGGCAAAAGGATAAAGGTAAAGGTAAAGGTAAAGGCCCTCCCGTTGATCGTCGATTTGCTCGAGCGGGCCCAGAAACGTCTCCATTGGAGACTTTGTTGTTACTGTGTTTGGCATATCGAATACTCTCGGTAGCTTGCCAGGCTCTCCGAGAGGGGCGGAGGAATCGCACTCGGGTCGGCCATGTTGGCCGCTTGTAAGGCGAACGCCCTACCGCTGTGCTATCGCTCCAGCGGAAAGAAATCATAAAACTTAGAGCAGAAATTAACGACATGGAAACCCAAAACACAATCTGCAAGATCAATGAAACCAAGAGCTGGTTCTTTGAGAAAATAAACAAGATCGATAAACCATTAGCAAAACTCACAAGGAAAGAGAGAGAAGCCTAATAAACTGAACCAGAAATGAAAAGGGGGACATCACTACAGAAACCAAAGAAATTCAAAAGATCATCAGAGACTACTTTGAAAGTCTGTATGCCACGAAACATGAGAATTAAAAAAAAATGGATAAATTCCTGGACTCCTATAATCTCCCAAGCCTGAACCAAGAAGATTTGGAATACCTGAATAGACCTATCATTATCAAGAAAATTGAAACTGCAATCAAAATCTTCCGAAAAGCAAAAGCCCAGGTCCAGATGGATTCACTAGCGAATTCTTCCAAAAATTTAAAGAGGACATATTGCCAGCTCTTTTAAAGCTTTTCCAGGAAATTGAAGAAACAGAAACCCTCCCAAACAGTTTCTATGAGGCACATATCTCCCTAATACCAAAAGCAAACAAAGACACCACTAAAAACAAAACAACAACAACAAAAAAAAACTACAAGCTTATATCCCTGATGAACACGGATGCGAAGATCCTCAACAAAATATTAGCAAATAGAATCCAACAACTCATCAAAAAGACCATACACCACTACCAAGTGGGATTCATCCCGGGGATGCAAGGATGGAGGATGGTTTAACATTTGGAAATCAATCAACATTTGTAAATCAGAGTCTCCTGCCCCTGCGCCTGGCTGTCCTCGCTGGGGCCCCTTGGAGGGGAGCGGGTTGAGTTTCCCTCCCCACCCCGATCAGGGCTCCGGTAGCTGAAGACCTCCAGAACCAGCCACCACCATGCTGAGACCACTCTCCACATGCATGAAGGTACCATCAGAGGAACAAAGGCATGCAGGTCCCGAGGCTGAGATCTCCAAGCCTGCTCGGATCGGGGCTGAGCATCCTACACCCAGATCCTCCAAATTCCAGTAGGCAGGGGTCACACCCACCAACTGGCTCCCTGGCGCCATGTAATCCCATCAATGGCCAAGACTCAGAGACTATAAAACCCAGCTCCTGGAAGCGAATGTGGCTGCAGGACATCTTATTATCTCATTCCTACTTTGGACAAACTGGCAGGCCACCGAATGTAACCTGCCCACATGGCAGAGTCTGGCAAACACCCCATGGTGTACCCAATATGCCAAATACCGGTAACAATGATGGGTCTCATTATCCTAACCCTGAAAGAGCCTTGAATATGGCACTTTTTAAAAAAATCTCAGGGCTAGGACAAAGGAGACGTTACTGGGACCTGCTCAAGGCAATCGACGAACAACAGGATGGTCGTGATCATGATCGTGATCAACATAATCCGTCATATCAACAAAAGAAAAGATAAAAACTATATGATCCTATCAATAGATGCAGAGAAAGCATTTGACAAGATTCAGCACCTGTTTATGATGAAAACTCTCACCAAAATGGGTTTTGAAGGAAGTTTTCTCAATATAGTCAAAGTCATCTACCACAAGTCTATGAAAAGCATTATTCTCAATGGGGAAAAACTGAAAGCCTTCCCTCTAAGATCAGGGACAAGAGAAGAATGCCCATTCTCACTACTTCTGTTCAATATAGTACTGGAAGTACTTGTAATAGCGGTTAGGCAAGAAAAAGATATTAAGGGCATCCAGGCATCCAGATAGGAAAGCAAGAAATAAAGCTCTCACTATTCACAGATGATATGATACTATATTTATATAACCTTAAAGCCTCTACCAAGAAACTCCTAGGAACTATAGACTTGTATAGTAAAGTCACAGCCTATAAAATCAATACCCAAAATTACATGGCTTTACTATATGCAAATAATGAGAGAGAGAGAAAGTGACATGAAAAAATCAATCCCATTCACAAGCATGCCTCAGAAAATCAAGTACCTCAGGATCTGCTTAACTAAGGAGGTAAAGGACCTGTACAAAGAAAACTACAAAACTCTACCTCATGAAAAAAAAAAGAGGACATGAAGAAAAATGAAACATATTCCAAGCTCACAGATTAGGAGAATTAACATTGTCAAAATGGCAATACTCCCCAAAGCAATATACAAATTCAATGCGATCCCTATAACGATACCCATGAAATTCTTCAAAGAAGTGGAGCAAACATTCACACATTCCTGCAATTCATATGGAACAACACGATCATGATCACAATCATCCTGTTGTTCGTCGATTGCCTCGAGGAGGCACCAGTCTCCTTCGTCCTAGCCCTGAGATTATAAAGTGCCATATTCAAGGCTCTTTCAGGGTTAGGAGAATGAGACTCATCATTGTTACTGGTATTTGGCATATTGGGTACGCCACGGGGAGTTTGCCAGACTCTGCCGTGTGGGCAGGTTACATTCTTATTATCTCGTTCTTACTTTGGACAACCTGGCAGGCTACCGAATGTAACCTGCCCCAAACAAAAAAAGACAACAGAAATACCCAAGGCGACTCTCCCTGAGGGGTCATGCTGATCCTGACCCTCAGGAAGGGTAGGCTGACAGAGTGTGTGAGGCAAGACTCTCATCTCCATCACTGTTGGCTCTGCTCATGCGGGGAACCACTGTGAGACTGCATGTGTGTGTATGCATGCATGTGTAAGCTGTGTGCATGTGCAGATCTGTGAGTGGGATGATATGTATGTGCACTAATGGGTGCACGTGTGCAGCTGTCCTGTGAACATGTGTGCATATGTGATGTGCTCATGAGTACACCCGTGGAGTCAGACTGAGGTAGGCTGATTGCATGAATGTGTGGAAACATGTGCATGTGAATATATGTGTGTACGGAGTAGGTGAGTGGGCACATGTGTACATACACTGTTTTGTGTATGTATGAATACATAAGTATGAGTGCTGGCATATATGTGTATGTTGAAAGGGGCAGCAGAGCCAGGACTTGTGTGTGAAGACCCTTCTCCAAGTTCCCAGGAAGGCCCTCCTCAAGAGCCTGGGCTCCTGCCTACACTGCAGTGCCAGATGTGATTATGTCTGGTGTTAGACCCGGCTGCCCTCTGGGTCTTGGGGGCCCCTCCAGTGCCAGGCTGACCACACACTGCTGCAGACTTGAGAGGGTCTGGATTGTGGGTCTACTGTGTGCCCCTGGTGAGCAGTGAGGGAAGCCCTGCACATCACAGCAGACAGAGGCTGAGCAGGAGGAGCACGAGAGAGGCCACAGGGTCCCTGCCAGGCGGTAGAAACAGGACACAGCTGAGTAACCATAGTTGGTCCTGCAGGAAGCCTCCAGCTGTTCCAGGGCGATGGGGTCCTCCTCGGGGGGCTGATCTACATTCGCAACAAACCCTCACAAATAGCTAAAGCAACTCTTGGTAAAAAGAAGATGGGAGACAACACCTTCCTCAATCTCAAACTCTACTACAAAGTGGTAATAATTAAAACAGCATGGTACTGGAACAAAGGCAGAGCTGCAGACCAATAGAAAAGGGTTGAATACCCTTACACACACCCTCAAATATATGATCATCTAATGTTTGATAAGGGAGAAAGAAATGTGAAGTGGAGCAAGGAAAGCCTCTTAAACAAATGGTGCTGGCAAATCTGGACAGTTACATGCAAAAGAAATGGGCTCAGACTTCTACCTATCACCATGTACAAAAGTCAGATCAAAATGGATTAGACCTCAACATCAGACCAGAATCTATAAGGTAAGGTACATTGAATACAAGGTCGGCAAAACCCTCCAAGACACTGAAGCTAAAGGTATCTTCAAAGATGACACACCACTGACCAACCAAGTGGAAACAGAGGTAAAGAAATGGAACTATCTTAAACTATGAAGCTTCTGCACTTCAAAAGATACAATGAGAACAAAGAAGAAAACCGCTGGAGAGCCCCACAGCTTCCGGAGAATGCTCCAGGTCCCAAACAGAGCTGATGTCACCGGAAGGTCCCAGATGGGATAGGTGCTGCATCCTGCCTTCTCCAGATGGAACCCCGGTGACCATGAGCCTCTAAAAGCATAGTTTGGGCATGCAGAAACCAGGACATTTTTTCCAAACTGCGTAAGCGGCCTTGCAACATCTCCTTATATACAAAGTGATCAATGGAAAGTAAATCATCCAATGTTTATTCCTGAAAATCAGGCTTAACTCTTTTGCAAACCACAACACCCAAAAGGAGAGAGAGAACAGAGGGGAATGCCCTGCCACAGAGGCAGGGTGGGATTGGGGGGAGGGGTTTAGGGGTGGGAGGGATACTGGGATCCGTGGTGGTGAAAAATGGGCACTAGAGGAGGGATGGGTATTTTAAATAAAAAAAAAGATACAGAACCAGAATACAACGACAATCTACAGAATGGGAAAGAATATTCACCCAATACCCATCTGATAAGGGGTTGATATGGCACTGGTTGAACTCCACAAGAAGAAAACAGCCAACCCCATCAAAAATGGGGCGATGAAAGGAACAGAAACTTTATCAAAGAAGATATCCAAATGGTCAAAAGGCACATGAGAAAATGCTCTTCATCACTAATCATCAGGGAGATGCAGATCAAAACCACAATGAGATATCATCTCATACCACAAAGACTGGCACACATCCAAAAGAACAAAAGTAACTGATGTTGGCACGGATGTGGGGAGAAAGGGACTCTCCTTCACTGCTGGTGGGAATGCCGACTGGTTCAGCCCTTTTGGAAAACAGTATGGATGATTCTCAAAAAATTAGAAATTGAGCTCCTATTTGACTCAGCAATACCACTTCTGGGAATATATCCAGGAGATGTAAAAAGGTAGAGTATAAATGACATCAGCACTTGTATGTTCATTGCAGCACTGTTGACAATAGCCAGAATCTGGAAAAAACCCAAGTGCCTGAGAACAGATGACTGATTAAAGAAACTTTGGTACATCTACACAATGGAATACTATGCAGCTGTTAGAAAAGATGAAGTCATGGAATTTGCATATCAGTGGATCAACATGGAAAGTATTATGTTAAATGAAGTGACTCAGAAAGAGAGGGGCAGACATAGAAAGATTGCACTCATTTGTGGAATATAAAGTAACAGAATGCGACCCTCACACCCAAGAATAATAGAGATGAGTACCAGGAGGATTGCCTCATGGCATGGAAGCCAGCCTCACATGCTGGGTGAAAAGGCAACTCAGGTAGAGAAGGGACCACCAAGTTAAGGGTTCTTGGAGAGCCCACTCAGGAAGGAGAGGCGTGCTGAAACTAGACTATAGACCGAACATGAAGGCCACTCAATTCCTCTATTGCAAACCACCACACCCAAAATGAGAGAGACAAAAGGGAATGCCCTGCTACAGAGGCGGGATGATAGGTGGAATGGGGTGGGGGTGGTGGGAGGGATACTGGGATCATCTGTGGTAGAGAATGGGCACTGGTGGAGGGATGGGTACTCGATCATTGTATGACTGAAACGTAAGCACGAAAGTTTTTAAGTCTGTAACTGTATCTCATGGTAATTCACTAAAAATATATATAAAAAGAAAAAATAAGGAGACACTGACTCTGGTCCTGTCCTGGGTGGAGAGTGAGTGACTGAGAGAAGCAGGAGTCAGAGCTGAGATCTGAGAAAGTTCACATATGGCTGCCAGGTTCCAGGGAACCCACATTCGTTATTTCAGAGAAGGTCTCACACCCCCTCTCTCCCACACACAGCAGGGTTCTTCACGGTCCTGTAGACACAGGGTCGACCTGAGAGGAGCGTGAGTCCCGCTGGTACAGAGAAGGAAACCAAACCGTCCTCCTGACTGAAGAAGGAGCGCTGTTCTGATACTGAACCCTACTATCTTCCCCTTTATGGGGAGTAGGGTCCCCACAGAGGAGGTCAGGGGTCCTCAGCACCTGGGACCCGGTACCTGCACGGAGTAGCGTGTCCTTCCCGTTCTCCAGGTGTCTGAGGAGCCAAGGCAAGCAGATGTTCTCCAGGTAGTTCCTCATGTACTCAGCCTGACCCCCCTGCTCCCACTTTTGCTGGGTTCGCCAAGCCTGCGTGCCCGCCGCCGCCGTCCAGGAGCGCAGGTCCTCGTTCAGGGCGATGTAGTCGGCGCCGTCGTAGGAGTATTGACTGTACCCGCGCAGGAAGCGCCCGTCGGACCCCACGTCGCAGCCGTACATCACCTGGAGGGTGTGAGAGTCTGACCCGCCCGCACAGATTAACCCCGAACCGAAAACGAAACCCGGGTCTGGTCCCCGCGGCTACTCCGGGTCAAGGGTCCGGGGCGGGGTCCCTTAGCCTCAGAGACGCTCTGGGAGCGTCGGGGCGACCCGGCCGGTCCCTGTGTTTTGGCTCGTCCCTGCCCGGGCCACGCTCACCCGCCTCGCTCTGGTTGTAGTAGCCGCGCAGGGTGTTCAGGTCAACTCGATAAGTCTGTGCGTTGTCCCTGGCGATCCGCGTCTCCCGCTCCCAGTACTCGGGTCCCTCCTGCGCCACCCACGGCGCCCGCGGCTCCATCCTCTGACTCGCCGAGTTGCTGTCGAAGCGCACGAACTGCGTGTCGTCCACATAGCCGACTTCGGTGTAGCGGGGCTCCCCGCGGCCAGACCGGGACACGGCGGTGTAGAAATAACGCAGGGAGTGGGGACCTGGGGGCGGGGAAGGGGTGAGCCCCGGGGCCAGGGTGAGGAAAAGGGAGGAGATTCGGGAGTCGGGAAAAGGGGGAGGGACCAAGAAGGGCCAGACTTAGGGTGTTGTGGTCGGAGTTGAAGGTTGGGGATACAAGGAGGAACATTTGGGGGGCATCGGGCAGGGAACCGGAGAAAGTCCTTCTCGGGGGTCGTGCTCATCAATGCCTGGCAGTTTCTAACCTTCCCCCCGCAATAAACTCCCCTCCCGAACCGCACTCACCCGCCCGGGTCTGGGTCAGGGCCAGAACCCCCGACAGCAGCAGAAGGAGGGGTCGCGGCTCCCACATACTGAAGGAATCAGGCCGAGTCCTGGTGACTCCCTGGACATAGCCTTAAGTTAATGACCGCGGGGAGCCGCGCGGACGCTGATTGGCTGCTCCAGATAGCGACGCCCAATAGGAGTGAGGACTACTGGGTACGCGTCACGATTATCCGGGCAGAGACGTTGAACAGGTTGCAGAGGCACTAGTGAAACTCTGGGGAGATCAGGAATCCTCAGGACTGTTCTCCAGCCTCCAACACCACCCTGGGGACAGAGACACTGGGAGCCACACCTGGGACCTGGGACTTTGCCCTCTCACCTGCTCCTTCACCTGATCTTTGTCACACTGTGTTCCTCATGGCCAGGGCTGAGACTGACTCAGCGATTTTCCATGGTTTTCTGTTCTGGATCTTGCTACAATCTTAAAATCTCGAGAGGAGCCCAGAGATGCTTCTGTGCGTTCAGATTAAGCCAATCAGTGTTTGCCGTGTGAGGAATCTAAGAGATCCTTTATTTTTGGTGGTGATGATTTTATTTTATTTTTGGCTTTTGGCCAACCAGGCAGTGCTCAGGAGTAACTCCTGGCTCTGTGCTCATGAATCACTCCTGGCAGATTAATGGGACCCTATGTAGTTCCGGGGATCAAACCCGTGTTGGCCATGAGCAGGGCAAGCACCTTATCCTCTGTACAATCTCTCCTTCAGAATAAAGTAAAAGTAAAGGCCCTCACGTTGACCATTGATTTGCTCCAGCGGGCCCAGTAATGTCTCCATTGGAGACTTTGTTGTTACTGTGTCTGGCATATCGAATACGTCACGGGGAGTTTGCCAGGCTCTGCCGCGTGGGTGAGATACTCTCGGTAGCTTGCCGGGCTCTCCAAGAGGGGCGGAGGAATTGAACTCGGGTCGGCCTTGTTGGCTGCGTGCAAGGCAAACGCCCTGCCACTGTGCTATTTTACTCTGAAGGAGTTGGCTGCGTTTGCCTTACACGCAGCCAACTCCTTCAGAGTAAAAGCCTGAAAATTACTTCAACTGGAATAATAGCATTGTCACTGTAGCATTGTTCTCCCGTTGTTCACCGAGTTGCTCCAGCGGGCCCAGTAACACCTCCATTGTGAGACTTATTGTTACTGTGTTTGGCATATCGAATAAGTCACCGGTAGCTAGCCAGGCTTTGCCCTGCGGACGAAATACTCTCGGTAGCTTACTGGGCTCTCCAAGAGAGGCAGAGGAATCAAACCTGGCTCTGCAGGGCCAACCGGATGCAAGGCAAACGCCCTACTGCTGTACTATCAACAACAAATTCATGCTAACAGGAAGTCTTTTGGGGGGTAAGGGGTCACACCCAGTGATGTTCACTGGCTCTGTACTCAGGAATTTCTACTGGCAGTGCTCAGGAGAACATATGAGATGCAGGCAGTAGAATCTTTTTCTAGCAAGGTGCAAGCAAGCAACTTACAGACTATACTATCTCACCAGTCTCTAGGAAGTGTTTTTAAGAAAAAACATTTTAGATTTTTTGCCAGGGACCAGCCCCGGCTGATTAGGCCTGATCCATGGACTCCATGAGAACCAAGAAAGAGGCAGAAATAGGTGTTAAAAGCAGGCGGTGAGGGACTCATAGTCTGTGCACTGAGCCCTGACTGTTCTCCGTGAATCATATTTATTACTTAGGATCCATAATCATCAGAACAACATTTTTCAGGCAAATACCTAATAACCTTAATCTATGCAAGATAAATGTTTACACATCCAAGGGACTTGGTTCATGGGGAAAAACATCTTTGTAATGGGCTTTCTCAAAGCGACATTCTTTCAGGAGAGGAAGCAGAGATAGAGCAAGATAGATAGAATGCCCCACCACCACCATCACCCTACCGGGGCATTATTCCACCTCTAACTCCAGCATTCTGGGTTGAACGTTCTCATAAAGGACGTCTCTTATCTGTCTCCTTTATTTATCTACTCCCCAACAGTTTTTTTTTTTAGCATAGAAATGGCCCAGTTCTTTGAGTAAAAAATGCCGGGCTGCTAAATCTTCATTTAGACCAGTCAGGGCTGAGTGCTGTGGGCCCTCCTCAGAATGGGGTTGGGCAGATTCTCCAAACACCCCAACTACCCTCCCCTGCCCAGAGGCCAACAGCTCCCACCCAAACCCAAAATTTCAGTCATGAAAATGGCCAACCTCCACAACTGAACCTTATCAAGTTGCCAAGCCATCAAATGCTTCCAGCTTCTGGAGCAACACCATGTTTCATAGTAATTTGAGACACCTGACCACATTCCAGTAGGAAAACAGCAGATTTGATAAAAAGTTGTATAGAATATTGCAAACCACACTGCTGAGAGAGAGAGAGAGAGAGAGAGGGAGGGAGAAAGAGAGAGACCGAAGTAAAGTGCCTGCCATAGAGGCAGGAGGCAGGTGCGGAATGGGGGGTGATGGGAGGGAACCTGGAGACGCTGGTGCTGGAAATGTACACTGATGCAAGGACGGGGGTTGGAATACTATATAACTGAAATCCAATCATGAACAGCTTTGTAATGGTCTATCTCACAGTGATTCAATAAAAACATTTAAAAAATTGTGTAGAAACCCACCAAGCTCTGAGCAAAAATAGTAACACAGAAGGCTCAGTAGCAGAGAACAGCCCAGTAAACCGTCAGACAGTGGCTTTAGTAACACCATTGTGAGACAGAATAATGATCACAAATTGACTTCTATTGATCTATTTCCCGATACTTTCTTGTTGTAACAAGCAATATAAAGTAAATTATTTTGTGCCCACTAGGGGCTTGTGAGTGGGAGGAAATGCCAGTGTGTGCGACCAAAATAAGGAGCAGCGCAGCCAAGTGTGCTGAGACCACAGCTGACATGTGCAACCCCAGAGCCAGAGCGTGTGTGTGACCTCAGACAGCCAGTCCACCTGTGCGACCTCAGAGAGCTAAAGCTCAAGTGCCACCACATTCATCCCAGCAATTGGCACTACAAGGGAATTATTTAATGCAGGAATTATTTTATCTTTTAGCATGTGTTGTAACAAGCAATATGAACTAAATTTCTTTGTGCCTGCTAAGAGGGCAGGCTCAGGATCTGGGTGGGAAACTGAAGATTTTGGTGAGGGGAAGGTCACACTGGTGGTGGAATTGATGTTGGAACATGGACTTCCTGAAATAATTGTACAACAAACAACTTTGTAAATCCTAGTGCATAAATTCTCCCCTCAAAAAAAAATTCAGGGGTTAAGAGGCACATGCAGCCGGGCTCTGTGCGGCACACACGGGTCTCAGAGCACCACAGGTATGGTGCTGGAGAACCCGGAGCTCGCTCAGAGGCATCCTGAGCACTGATTGGGAGTCTCTATCTCCAAATAAGAAGGAAAAAGTATAAAATTAATTCAGAACATAGTGTTGTGGAGGAGTGAATCCTTTACATTATATGTATTCGAAGTATCTTCTCTGTCTCATAAGAAGCTTGCTAGATTTTCATATTTTCTCCTGCCTTTAATCTGTTGTTTTGTGTGACATATATGGAAACAATAAGTTTTATCCAAATATGTAGGAATGAGGGGCTGGAGTGATAGCACAGCGGGTAGGGTGTTTGTCTTGCATGCGGCCAATCCGGGTTCGAATCCCAGCATCCCATATGGTCCCCTGAGCACCGCCAGGAGTAATTCCCAAGTGCAGAGCCAGGAGTAAACCCTGAGCATCGCTGGGTGTGACCCAAAAAGCAAAAATAAATTAAAAAATGTTTTTAAAATGTAGGAATGATATTTTTAACAATTATTTCAGTTAATTATGAGCAGTAATTATGAGGGTAAAACTGGTTGTTTCAGGAAATGGGGATACATGAATATTGGGGACCTTAAAGCCTTATTAGATAATTAGGATTCTGAAATCACATGTTTAATATCCATTTTGTAAAAAATAAACTATCTATTTGGTGGGTGAAATATGGACTCACACACAGTTGTGTTAATGAGGATGATAGGTGGATGCGATCAGCAGGGATCCAGGCTACCATGCGTAAGCCCTAGGCTCCATCCAGCCACCAAGTATGGGAGACATGAGACAGCAGGTGGGAGAGGACGTGGGACTGACAGAGGGATAACTTGGAAGTGTTTGTTTTGATTTATTTAATATCTCTATAAGGGCCTAATCCTGTCCCAATCTGAGGGAATCTTGGACAGGGCAGGACCATCTGAAGTCCTGCCCCTCTCTGGGGGGAAAAAGCATCCAGATCCTGATGAGAGGTTTGGGAGATGATGGAGCTGTTCTCTTCTCAGACTCTGTTTATACAAGGTGAAAGTGATATAGGAAACAGACAGATTGGAAAGTGAATAAGGTGATTGCCTTGTTCATCACTGACCAGGGTTCTATCCTTGACAGCCCTTATGGTCACCTGAAGCCCACCAGGACTAATCCCTGCGTACAGGCAGGTATGATCCAAAACCCAAAAAACTGAATGTAATTTAAGATAAACTCATCATCTGATCATGGTGATGGGGAGGGACCTGAATGGTTTGCAGAGGGAGGAAGTGGGGCAGTGCTCAGAAGGTAAGAGAGTGACCTGATGGAAAATGGCCTGTGGGAGAGCAGGGCTGGACTCTGCTGGACTTAGAGACCCACATGGGGCAGCAGGAGAGGGCATGGAACAGACTGGTGGAAAATGCAACAAAGCAGCCACCAATGTGAGGATACAGTTACTGTCACTAGGACACACAGACCTTTCCCCCATGTCTCAGGAGCTGTTATCTGTGGAGCCCCTGCAGGGTCTCTCCCTTTCTTGGTAACTGCTCATTTGGGACAGGGTGGGGGAACTACACCCTGCTGTGCTCAGGGTTACTCCAGGCTCTGCGCTTGGGGGTTGCTCCTAGGGGTGCTCAGGGTACCTCGCAGTCTGGGTGAGCCTGGCTTGCTGCACACAGAGCCTGCATCCCAGCCCTTTGACCTAAGGTATCTCACTGGCCCCGGGGCATGCTGCAGTATGTTGTAAGGTCTGATATTTTTAAGAACATGGTTTAAAAGA